GTGTGTGTGTGTGTGTGTGTGTGTGTGTGTGTGTGTGTGTGTGTGTGTGTGTAATGAAAATTTATAAATATTTCTTTCTCCTCATTGCTAATGTGTTTACATTTGCATGTTATCACAACAAAACGTTTTGGTTTGGTCAAACTGATTGAAACACATTAGCTTTTTGCAATTTTTATGAATAAATGTTAGGAAAAAACCTTTGTTCATTTGTTACGACCCCAAGACCCCATCATTATTACACATGTTGCCAATATACTGTAAATGTCACCACACTGTTTATGAAAGCTAAATTAAAGGAGTGGGGGGTCACATCTATAAGTCTACTTGTCATTTGAAGTTCTTCAAATGAATATGGCTGTGTTTGAAAAAGTCATATAAAACAGGGGTTCCCAAAGTTGGGGTCAGGCCCCACAGTGAGGTCCTGAAATATCAAGGTGGGGTCTTGAAAATATTTTCTGAAGTAACACATTTAAAAATGACTGTTAACAATTGCTTGCCTTAATTGTTACAAAAYAGTGAGGTTAGTGTRTTTGAAATTGATAAAATTAGCATAATGAATATTGTTACTATTCCCTTGTTTATTTGACCTGATACCAATGTGTATCACCCCAAAATAGTTGGGGGCACATGTCTCTGCTGCTGTTATTTTGTGGGTCAAAAGMTGAACGGTTTGGGAACCATTGACATAAAACACAACGTTTTGAAGAAAAAGGTAATAAGGTCTTATACAGTTTTGTTGGCACTATGAAAAAATAACACTAATTAGAGCCATGTTTTTGTGTTTGTCTTTTAGCATGATTACATGTATACTAGAGACATTACTGCATTGTTTTCAAGACTTTGCTAAAAATTGTAAAGAGAAGTTAAACTTTAGGAATTGAAACCGTTACAGCCAGTATGTTTGCTTGTTTTTGAATCTGACTGACACATTGTAGGCTTACAAATAAGTAAACAAAAGTTAATGTCTTATAAATGTGTATTATATCCTTTTAAGAACAAAAAATGAGGGAATGAAAGAAATCAGCAAATCAGAGGAAATACCTCTTAGGTTTAAACTGAATAGAAGTTCCAGACAAAACTTCTAAAACAATTTTTAGCAAAGTGAGTTCTGTCCAGTATTAAGGTGGTTGTGACTCATACTGAACTGGTCCTTCTGTCAGGATGTTGTGGCTTTGATGCTGAGTTTGTGACAAGTCCATGTGTGTTCAAAGTGTACAAATTCTTTTAAGACTCGTATTTTCTCCTTGAAGACATAGGCAGTAGAGATGAGAGAGACAGTAACTGTAATATACACACTTTATGATGTGAGCAGTAAAATCTGTTCCTAGTATTTCAAAACCAGCTATAGAAAGCGGAGTAGAGTAACTAATTATGTATAAGTTAACTACCTTGACTTTAATTTTACAAAAATGTTTTTAGCTTTAGAGTTCTAATTCAGAAAACTTGCTCAAAACTCTTTTTCTTCTTTTTTTATTATTCTCTTCCTCTTTTGTTTTCTTACACATTTTTTCCAGCTGTTTATTTCCTCAAACTGTAATCTGCGCGCTCGCTCCCGCCCCCTACCCTGTGGTGCGCGCTCCCGTCGCTCGGCTCGGACACTCGGCTCGCGCTCTCACGTGTTTTCTGTGTATAAAAGGGTCCCAGTCTTCGCTCGTCATGTCCAGCGGGTCACCAGACAAACGCAGGAAGATGGAGTCTGCGCTAAACCAGCTGAAGAAGTTCACTGTGGTGGTGGCAGACACGGGAGACTTTAATGGTAAAATATACATATATATACAAATGCTAACGTTAGCGCCAGTCGCTAGCATTGCATGCTAACTAACTGACCAGATTTTTAATGTGGATGACGGACAGGTCCACATCCTGCAGAGTGGGTATGAACATGTGTGCTAGCCACAGTTAGCTCGACCGAATAATGTTAGTCTTAGCTTTACAGCTGCATAGTAGTTTACTAGCAAATTTCCCAGCCAGGTTTCCTGTTAATCTGATAATTGTTATCAGCAGCGTTAATCTAACCGTTTAAATGAGCTGCTGCTGTGTTGGTCACAAACACGTGTTTATAAATGATTATGTTTTAATAAAAATACAGTAGCTGATTTTTTTGTGTGTTTTCTTACTTTAAAAATGTATACCTGTAAGTTTCATGTTGCAGTTAAAGCTTAGGTTGAGGAAATGTCACCTAGTATGTGCACACTAAAGTGTTAGCTTCGTGTGCAGCTAGTAATAGACATGCAACAGGAGGCATTGTTTTTTTTTTCTGTTCTTCCTTTTTCCTCGTTTGTCCCTTTGATTCATCATGCCACAGAGTTGACAAGGTCGTGTTTCTCAATTCTGCAAACTGAATGAGGAACAGTTTGCAGTAATAGTGTTGCTAACTGTCTGTGATGCAAACCTGCTGGTTCCCTGTGCCCAGCGGAGCCTGTAGAGTCAGGATGACTTGACAGAACTGGTTTTTGACTCTGTGAAGCAGGACAGTGGTGACTCAGTCCCACAACAGKAGTGAAGTTTGTCTTATTTTGTTTTCTAGTCCTTCAGCGCGGACATTATTGCTCTGCATTTTTCCCATGGCACATGTGAGCAGCACRTATGTGGAGCAGAGGAGGTKTAAAGTRCCCAGTTAACAGCTGYGGGGTTAARGGCCTTGCTCAAGGGCTCAAAGTGGAGCATATTGCATTTTTGTTGTTGGTTCAGGGAGTTGAGCTRGTGACCTTTAACCTCTGTGCCATCACTCCCCTTAAATCATGCCTAGACTATCCTTACTGGTTTGGTTTCTGTTTGTTTGTTCTTATTTAAACTTGTAGAAGAGCCTTTAACACAGAAGATCCAAKTTTAAACAAACAACAAATCTTGATAGGTCAAAGGAAAATAATGAGCTGTTATGAAAATGTTTTTGTCTGTAAAATCAGAATGATTTCTATTCATAATTGTCTGTGTCTGCCATTGTAGGAAGTTTGAAGATGTAATTATTTGGGGGTTTACTTGGTTGCTGTTTCAAAAACAGAACAATTGAATCACACTTTTATTATCTATAAAACAAATKAAAGGAAACAATGACTGGTTGTTTGTGTCCAGACAAATAGGGAAACTACTTGATTAAATTCTTACATATTGTTCAGTTCAGTCATATGTTTATAAAACACAATGCATAGTTCTTTATTAATAATAATAATAATAATAGTTTAAAAGTCTTAATGATTTTCTTACAGAAAATGAAATTTCTTGTCAAACTAAACAAGAATGAGCAAAATTTCTTTTCAGTTGCATTTAAGAAACCCTTTTTTCACTTATTCATTAGACTGTTAGCTTGTAAACAATTAAAAACACTATTGAAATTATGCAAAATATGGCAATTACTACATTGTTTGGCAGCTTGCCACCTTTTGTTCACCACAACAAAAGCTCAAATAGTAAATCTTTGTTCAGATCAGTATTCATTGTGTGTTTTCCCACACAGACCAGACATGCACAGATTTATGTAGGTTGCAGTGGCTACTTTGCACTGATCTGTCAATAAAACAAATGCTGAGTTTGTGATAAGAAAAACAGTAGGGATAGGATCTTAAGAACAGCCTGATGTTGTCTAAACACAATTTAGTTCAAGTAATGTAGGTTTTGGGTGACTGTTGCAAGATGTGTTTGCAATCAGTTCACTTGTTGTAAGTTTAGATGTGTTAACATGTGGTCTGTTTCACCATGGTTAAATGTGTTGAAAGAGCACACATTTTATGTTTATATGACCATAGTAGGAGTCAACATTAAATTTTTTTTTTACTTCTGCTCTTTTTTATTTTTTATTTTTACTTCTATCGCCTCAGTGTGAAGTTCACAGAATTGAAGATGAAAACTAAATTCACGCTTTCACTTTAAAAGGAAAGCATTGTGAATAATATAGATTTAATGTCTGTTGGAGCTTATCTTCTGTTGGTTCACAACAGGTTTTAAATGTTTTTGTAACACTGATCGCATAAAGACACTTTATAACCTTTTGGTTAATTTTTTCTGTTTTTTTTTTCTCTTGATTCAATTTATTGTAATTTTATGTTCCTCTCCACGTTCCTCACCCTGCTATCTTCTTGTGTCCGCAAAAGCAACAACCAAAGTTGTACCAAAATTGGTTAATGTTAGTATTTAGAGTATAATGTATCAACTCAAAATAAATTAAAAGTAAAGTTTACCCTTCTAAAAGGTCTGCACTACAATGTTTGACCATTCATATGTAGGAAGCTTGCAAGCCTTTTTTTTTTAACTTTGTTTAGAAGATAACTACCGGTAAATACATTTTTTTTTAACAGTTAATCAGGCCTGTCCAGTCCAAAACTACTGAGGTGCAGCAACTCTTTAGAAAAGGTCACATGATGACTCTATGATGAACACAGACTGGCTTTGTTCAGAGACTGAAAAATGTGCAGCTCTGACTGGAAAAAAACATTTGATGATACTTGATGTTAGAGATTTGCCGGTCAGTTCTAATGCATAAACAAAATCCTGAGACAGAAATGAATGTAATAAATGCCATTTCTGTCCCACAGGTGTAATTTGACACACTTGATGTAAACGTTTTTTTGCTTATGTTTCTTGTGTTTATAATACATGTCTTACAGTAATGTACTTCAAAGATCTGCACTGAGTTGATTCATTCAATACTGGGTCTGCCTTTTTCCACTCTGTTAAAAAAGAAAATAATTAATCAGATGCACTTTGAGTGTTGAGATCTCATTCATCAGATCATCCAAAACTTAACCAGATAATTCATTTTTATAAAGTATTACTCTAGTCTATACCCCTACTTCAGTCTTGGTCCATTTGAAAATGTGTAACCGTTAGGGCTGCACCGATTAGTTGAAATAATCGATGACGTCGATTATGTAAAATTGTCGACGCAGATTTTTTATTATCGATTGGCTGTATTACATAACCACCATGTGAATGTTCATGCTATTCCATTTCGGTACCTAAATGCAACATTGCGACCGTATAAGATTGGTGAGTTTTCCATGCTTGTCCTGAACGCAGCATCGCGCAAGAGCGTAATGACGTCAGCAGC